AAAAAAAAAAATCTGAAGACTTTCTAAGATTCACGTGGAATAACATGAAGAGGAAAAACCTTCATGTGATTAGAATTCCAAAACAAGGAGGGACAAAGAAAACATTAGTTAAGGCGCTTATAGAAGAAAATTTCCATAACATCACAAAAGATGAGAAGATAAGCACTCAAGCTGAATGAACCCATAACTGGATAGGTCCCAAATGAAAGCCGCCATGACATATTAATTGTTGTTGTTGTTGTAAAGTGCTGTAGAGTCAGTTCTGACCCACAGTGACCCTGAACAGGTCACTGCTTTCAGGATTCTTTCCTTGTGTTTGATTTTTGAGAGTTTATTAATATGTCATAAGGAACTCTGGTAGCATAGTGGTTATGAATCGGGCTGCTAGCCTCAAGGTCAGCAGTTCGAAACTACCAGCTGTTCAGCGGGAGAAAGATGAGGCTTTCTGCTCCTGTAAAGATTTACAGCCTCGGAAACCCTGCGCAGAGTTACTATGAATCAGAATCAACTCCACAGTACTTAACAACATACTAAGAAAGAGAGCTGTGAAAAGGAAGTTAGGAAAACAATACCATTTAAAATAGCCACCCAAGATGAAATGTTGTGGTTAAGTGCCATCAAATCGGAACCAACTCACAGTGACCCTATGCACAACAGAATGAAACACTGACCAGTCCTGGGCCAACCTCACAATTGTTGCCAAGCTTGAGCCCACTGATGCTGCCATTTTGCTAATCCATCTCGCTGGGGATCTTCCTCTTTTTCTCTGACCCTGCACCTTACCAACATGATATCCTTCTCCAGCGACTGGTCCCTCCTGACAGTATGTCCAAAGTTTGAGAGTAGAAGTCTGGCCACCCTGGTCTCCAAGGAGCACTCTGGCTGCATTTCTTCCAAAACAGATGTTTGTTCTTTTGACAGTCCAGGGACTTTCAATATTCTCCTCCAACACCATAACTCAAATGCATCAATCAAATATGTCTGAAATATGAGAGACAAATTTTTGTCATCTTGGCCTCCAAGGAGCACTCTGGCTGCACTTCTTCCAACACAGATCTGTTGGTTCTTTTGGCAGCCCATGGCACTTTCAATATTCTCCTCCAACACCATAACTCAAATGCATCAATTCTTCTAAGGTCTTCCTTATTCACTGTCCATCTTTTGCATGCATATGCGGTAATTGAAAATTCCATGGCTTGGGTCAGGCGCACCTTAGTCCTCAAGCTGACAGTTTTGCTCAACATTGTAAAAAGGCCTTGTGCTGCATTTACCTAATGCAATATGTTGTCTGATTTCCTGGCTACTGCTTCCATGAGTGTTGATGATTGACCCAAGAAGAATGAAGTCCTTGACAACTTCAATCTTTTCTCCATTGCTAAAATATTGTTTATTGGTCCAGTGGTGAGGAGTTTTGTTTTCTTTACATTGAGCTACAATCCATACAAAAGGTTGTGGTCTTTGATCTTCATCAGTAAGTATTTTAAGTCCTCTTCACCTTCAGCAAGCAAGGTTGTATCATCCGCATATCGCAGTTTGTTAATGAGTGTTCCTCCAATCCTGATGCCACG